ACTTAATTTTTTTAGGGGGTGTTCTATTATCCCAGTTGGTTTTTCTGACCATAGTCTAGTAAAATGTGATGTGACAGTGGTTTCTATTAAGCCAAAAAGTGCTTATTGGCACTTGAATAATAATCTGTTATGTGATCTTTTTTTTAGAGGTATTTTTAAAGATTTTTGGATTGAATTTAGATCAAAAAAGTCTTCCTTTCAATCTGTACAGCCGTAGTGGGATTTTGCGAAAACACAAGTGAGACAGTTATGTCAATATTATACCTTTAATGCCACAAGAGAAAGAAAAGATGCAATTGAAATGTTAGAAAAAGAATTAAAGGAATTGCAAGAACTTGCTGAAGTCACTGGAGAGTTAACTGTTATCAAGAGTTTTAAAGAGAAAAAGAATTTTTTAAATGACCTGTTAGATGTAACTGCACAAGGAGCTCTCGTCAGGTCAAGATTTCAGAATATAGAGTTGATGGATGCACCTTCTAAATTCTTCTTTAATTTAGAGAAAAAAAATGGGCAAAAAAGGTTTATACACACTTTACGTTCTGAGACTGGAGATGTGTTGTCAGATGCTTTTGAAATCAGAAACAGGGCAGTTAGTTTTTATGAAAAATTATATGAGAGTGAATTAACGCTTGATGAAATGCAGGATGAGAGTTTTTTTGAAAATCTGCCTCAAATATCTGAAGAAGTAAATGCTGAACTTAGTAAAGCTGTCACTTTAGAGGAATTAGAAAAGGCACTTCAAAGTATGGAAGGTGGTAAAGTACCTGGAATAGATGGGTTACCAGTTGAATTTTATAGGACGTTTTGGACAGAAGTGAGCCCAGATTTATTGCAAGTAATAAATGAAAGTTTGATTAATGGACAACTACCTTTAAGTTGTAGAAGAAGTTTTCTTACATTATTGCCAAAGAAAGGTGATCTAAATGAGAAAAAAAATTGGAGACCTGTGAGCTTGCTGTGTACAGATTACAAATTACTTTCCAAAGTTTTGGCGAGTAGATTAAGTGAAGTTTTAAGTCAAATTGTTCATCCCGATCAGACATATTGTGTTCCAGGGAGACACATTTTTCATAACATTTCCTTTATTAGAGATATTTTAGAGATAGGTAAAAACTTAAAACTGGACTTTGGCCTTGTGTCAATTGACCAAGAAAAAGCTTTTGACAGAGTGGAGCACTTGTATTTATGGAATGTTTTAACAGCTTTTGGTTTTAGCAATGGTTTTATTTCCTTGATTAAAGTGTTGTACAATGATGTCGAAAGTATTTTAAAAATTAATGGAAATTTGTGTGCCCCTTTCAAAGTATTTAGAGGTATCAGACAAGGCTGTGCATTGTCTGGAATGCTGTATACTTTGGCTATAGAGCCTCTCTTAAATAAATTAAGAGCACAAGTGTCTGGAGTACGTGTCCCATGCTGTACAAATGTTTTTAAGTTATCGGCATATGCTGACGACATTGTCATTCTAATTAATGGACAGAGAGATGTAAATGTGTTGTTGGAGATCTTGAAAAAATTTCTGCCACAAAAGTAAATTGGTCCAAGAGCGAAGCAATTTTGGTTGGAAGTTGGGACAATATGGAACCAACACTTCCAGAAGGGTTATCCTGGACCAAGGAAGGCTTAAAATATTTGGGAGTGTTTTTAGGGGATGAAATGTTTATGAAAAAGAATTTTGAAGGGATTGTGGATAAGTTTAAAGGTCGCCTTAACAAATGGAAATTTTTGCTCCCTAAAATGTCATATAAAGGTCGAGTATTGATTATAAACAATTTAATTGCATCTTCCCTATGGCATCGATTTTATTGTGTAGATCCTCCACGAGATTTATTGCCAAGATTACAATCTATTTTAGTTGATTTTTTTTGGGACAAGATGCATTGGGTGCTGAAAGCCGTTCTGTATTTACCCACAGAAGAAGGCGGACATGGTTTAATGCATATACAGAGCAGAATAGCAGCCTTTAGGCTTCAGTTTGCCCAAAGGCTGTTGACTGGGCCAGTAGACTCAAACTGGAAACATGCTGCTTGTGTTATTTTGCGAAATTTCAGAGGTCTGGACTTTGAGAGATCTTTGTTTTGGTTGAATCCGCAAAGGATGGACTTGTCTAAGTTGCCCATTTTTTATCGGAATCTATTTAAAGTTTGGTCGTTGTTCAAGGTGCAGAGACCCAGCTCTATGACCTCACTGCATTGGTTGCTAAAAGAACCGCTGGTTCATGGATCGCGCTTGGACTTGTCAAATGGAAAGACACTCCCTGCAATTTGTGATATTCTTCTTGATGCTGGAGTTTTGACGCTTGGACAATTATTTAAACTGGCTGGACTGGACTTTGAGAATGTTGATGCGGTCGTCAGACAGTTGGGGTTGAAATCGAAACGCATAACGGCCAAATTACTTGGAGAATGGAAGTCAGCACTTACGTCAGAAGAAGTTAAACTGCTGGAAGATTATACTGAAGGGTTAATTACTCCAGACTGCAATGACCCTTTTCCTGATTTGTGTCTGTTGACTGATTTTGAAGAATGTGAAGGTGTTTTTTTACAACCTAACTTGTTGATGTTAATGGGTCCTAATCCAGTGTCTGGAAAATTTTTGTACAAAAACTGTGTCAAAACTCTGAATAAGAAGTGTTTGCATAAAAGAGTTGATACGCCTTGGCGTTCTGTCCTCCATCTAGGAGAGGATGTCAAGCCGGAATGGCGAGCGTTATACAAGTCACCTTTGCCAAAAAAAAGTGGGTGACTTACAGTGGAGGATTCTTCATGGAGCGATTGCCGTGAATGCACTTGTTTCAGTCATAAACCATGATACTAGCGATGAATGCCCTTTCTGTTTTCAGAAGGAGAACATATTTCATGCTTTTGTGTATTGTAACAGGCTTTTACCATTGTTTCAGGTTTTAAAGAGTTTATTTGGTTGTTTTGATGAGACTTTTTCTTTGGAAACGTTTATTTGTGGGTTTAAATACATCCGGAGATGTCGATTTTTTTGTCAATTATTGAATTTTTTGCTGGGTCAAGCAAAGAAGGCGATATATGACACTAGAAAAATAAGAATTGAACGCAATTCAAGTGTTAATTTGCAGATTGTGTTTCTTAACCTAGTAAAATCCAGAATTTTAATTGACTTTCGGTTTTATAAGGCTATGGGGGATCTTATGTCTTTTGAATTGATTTGGTGTTATAAGGGGGCTCTGTGTGAAATAATTAATGAGAGTTTACAGTTTGCACATATTTTGGAATGAGTTTTATATTTGATATATTGAATGTGTATGTTTTTTTGTACTCTTGTAGGTAGGAACTGAATGTATTAGTATTAGGTTATTTGTAATAAAAGGTGTTTAAAATTCAAATTCTCTCTCTCTCTCTCTCTCTCTCTCTCTCTCTCTCTCTCTCTCTCTCTCTCTCTCTCTCTCTCTCTCTCTCTCTCTCTCTCTCTCGCCCCTGTTTCAACACAGCAAAGTAATTTCCACATTTTATAGCCAAGCGCAATTGATACACTTATAGGGAGAGTTAACTCTGGCCTCTGTTAGTTGCAGATTATTTGTCAGTTACTGATTCACTGATTACTGTTCCTGGATTAGCAGATGTGATTCTAACCAAAACAATTGTACATATTACTATATACAAAAATATATTTTTGGGTCAACTATCCCTTTCAGGGATAGCCTAGTTGGGTTATTTGTGTTTCTTTTTAATAACAACAATGGGTGGGAGACATATTTAAATTAGCGATTTATATAAATGTAATTTTTGATTTGATGGTTGATGGGATGCTCAAAAAAAAAAAAGTAAACCTCCCTGTCCACCATGTTTCAATTCTGTCTCCTCGATGACCTTTAGCCAAGGCTTAAATGCTAATAGATTCCAAAAGCTCAAAACACCCATTATAACAACATCCAACATGTACTAAACACACACAAAGTTTTTTCAATTCATTCTATAAGATTTTTCAATTCATTCTATAAAACCCGATTCCCTTTCATGGCAGACCAATCTCTGCAGCGATCAGTGAGTTCCGCCACCCTGTACATACAAACCTTACCTCCTGTCTGAGTTTGCAGATGCTGACGCTTTCATTCACCTCCATCCTTCCAACCACCACTTGGATAGTCCCTTCCCATTCCTCCCAGGGGGTCGGCTGCGCCCCTGCCTTCGTCTTTAGGCAGGAAATACAGAGTCCGGACCCTCGGATTGCGAGCTACGGACGGGGCCTACACTAAAGAACTTTATATCATAATATTGCTTGCTGGGCTGTTAATAAATGTATAATTGTTACAGTATTTATTCTCCCGAGTCTTTCTAGTAGAACTAATGTGTCAAGGCGAGTTTTCTGCTCTAAGTTTTTGGGGTGCCTACCCAGCCCCAAAAGAAAGAAAAGGAGAGCTCTCTATTTGCAGCACAGCTCAGTAGTTGTCATGTTGTGATGGACTTACATGCAAAGAGGGTGCAGGCTCCATCATGGCCACTGTGAAAGAGCCCTGGAGGAAAGGGTCATCCTCCACATCCTGGCGCTTTTGAAATGTGGATTTCTGCAAATGATTAACATGGTCTCTTCACAGGTCATCTCCTGTTTAGGCGCCATCTGTATATCTGTTATTATAAATTCCAAATTGGATTAAATCTTCAAAGCAACTTAAACACTAGATAGAACAATACTGAAGAAATCAGACTGTAAATGGTATTGTAAATCTGGTATTTATGTTACAGGCAATGTCCTTATTTGGTATCTAGGAAGAGGTGACAGAGGGTGTAACCCTCAAATTCAGTTATTTATTTTAAACATTTTTTATTCAATAAACATTATATATATTTTTTCATATTTGTTTATTTCTTGCCAAACAGTGCTGAAAAGTATTCAGGGTGTCAATCGATTTTAGCTCAGTATTGTGTTTGACAAGTGTTTTATACTTGATAATTTTAATATATGCAAAACTGCTCAGATTTTCCACCCCTCCGTGTGTTTAAAGAGAGACGTTTGTATTGCTAATCTCAGTGGAGGAGAGAGCTGAAATCAGCATAAATCATGTTCCCTACATCTCTACTGTTGCTTTTGGCAGGAATGACCAGTGAGTGTCTTTATCAGCAAGTAATATAGAACAGATATTTGGGCACCAACTGTATAATTTCATCAATGTGTGTATTGTTATTCTCTTTTGACAGGTGTGGAATGTAACATTATCCTCACTCAGCCAAACTCTGTAGTTCTGCAGCCGGGACACTCATTTACTCTCAAGTGTGAGGTGTCTGGATATTCTGTTACTGATAATAGTTATGCAACAGCCTGGATACGACATCCTGCAGGAAAAGCTCTGGAGTGGATTGTGCACATATGGGGAGGTGGAAGCATAACCAAAAAAGACTCACTGGCAAACAAGTTCAGCATCTCCAAAAGTGACTCCAGCAACACGGTGACTCTTAATGGACAAAATCTACAGTCTGAGGACACAGCTGTGTATTACTGTGCCAGACGACCACAACATGAGAAAACAGTACAAGCACTGTACAAGAACTACTATAACATCCAGTATTTCTAAATCTCATTCATGGTTATATAACCACCATTATATTATCACATATTAAGTTTGACACTTAAAAGGATAGTTTACCCAAAAAAAATTATTATGTCATCATTTACTCACCCTCATGTCATTCCAAACCTGTATGACTTTCTTCTGAGGAACACAGGAATAACATTTTGAACTTGTTTTCTTTGTATGAAACAAAAACTTGTGCCGCTGCCATTGACAGAGTGTATTTTATCCAGCTCTAAGCAACAAATGACATTTAAGCCATACATGCAAGCCATGAAACTATGGATGTAAACTAATCAAGATTAATGTAATGTTATTCCTTGCCTGCATAATGTAGTTCCTAGCTCTCTGATCTCTTTGTGATAACGAGCCATGCAAACCAAAGATGCAAACACTTTATGAAAGCATTTTCGGTCACAGAAGCTGAAGCTACAAAATCATATCCTGATTTAACTCCGTTAATAATATGCAAATGTTCACCATCCACATGAAAGAATAAGAGCATGTTCCTAGAGTAGATGATCAGTCACTACTAGGACTAAAGCTGTGTGGATGTCCTGTCTGATTCGGAAATCAATCATGATTCAAATTCTACTCATTTTATGTGCCTTTGTGCCATGTGAGTGAATTCATTCAGTCACATCAGAAAAGTGAATCTTTCTGTTGCTGACTGTAATTATTCAAATATTTATATAGTTAGAAACAGATGAAATGAGACTATGGACTGACTCTCACAGTATGTCGTTAATGTTGTCTTTTACAGATGTTTGTGGCATCTCACTGACCTCGTCTCCTGCACAGATTAAAGCTCCTGGTCAATCAGTCAGGTTGTCCTGTCAGATCACTGGATATGCCCTTAAAGACTATGGCACAGCTTGGATCAGGCAGCCTCCTGGAAAGGCCATGGAGTGGATTGGGATCATATGGGGCAGTGGATCAATTAACTCTGGAGATTCCTTCAAGAGTCGCTTCACTATTTCCAGAGACACAGACCAGAATGAGCTGTACTTAGACATCAGCAGCCTGCAGACTGGGGACACAGCTGTGTATTACTGTGCAAAGACAGACACAGTGGCTCAGCTTAATGTGAGAAACTGACAAAAACAGATCTGTAGATCATCAACACAATGATCAACACACTTAATACCTGCTTCATGATCATATTCAGACACGCTACCACACACACACACACACACACACACACACACACACACACACACACTAAGTGGACTTAATGTTATGACATCTAACATTGTTGTTTTGAGTCTGTAAAACGAAATACTATTTGAAGTTATGTTTTGGTTAAACAATAAATGTATCTTGTATTAATATATTAATATAATTTATATTAATAATAAAATCTGTATAAAAGTTTATTGTAGAAATGTATCACAATGCTAATATAATATAGTGCACTGTAGCAGCAGAGCTCCACAAGAGGGAGTCATTTTCTTAAAAACGAAACGACCTCTTTCTGAAGACTTAACACAATTATCAAACAATTATTTTATTACATTTTCATATCAATTCTGAAAAATAATCAAAAACCAGCATACTGACATCGTTTAAATTACACACATGGCTAAATTTGAGTCCACAATAAACACAATAAACAATTCTGGACTAAGTAACTCCTCTCATAAATAATAATCATATTATGAAGGCCTGTAAAAGCAGACTATGCAAATGTGCTAATTTACCTCTATATAACACACACATACAGCTCACTGTTCACTGTCCAGTGAAATAATAAGAGCAGCATTTACATATAGAAAACATTTTGACAATGGTGCCAAGGAGCATTTGCCATTTCATCTTTATGGTGATTGTATCTCAACAAGGTAATTTTGACATTTGGGTTATTCTAGCAAACAGAAAAAAAAATATTCAGATTCACTGTTAATATGATTTATGTATTTTATTCCACAGGTATCAGTGGTGATGAAATCCAATTAGATCAGTCCTCTGCTGTGATAAAGAGACCAAGAGAAACAGTGAAGATCTCCTGTAAAATATCTGGTTTTACAATGACAGACTTCTACATGCACTGGATCAGGCAGAAGCCAGGGAAAGCTCTGGAGTGGATTGGGAGTGTAAACTCTGGCAGTAGTTCTGACTCAGATTATCTTATTTACGCAGACTCTGTGAAAAATCACTTCACTATGAGTGAGGACGTGTCTCAAAGTACACAGTATCTTGAAGCCAAGAGTATGAGAGAAGAAGACACTGCTGTTTATTACTGTGCTCGACAGACACAGTCACTCCATCTATTGAAGCAGCTCTACAATAACCACAGAAAGAAAATACCAGTTAGGCTATGATTCATATTTTTACTATTATTATAATTCTCTCTGGTTTTTGAATTCAGATGCTTTCTTGTTTGTATCTGAAATCCACTCATCATTTGCATGGCATTGAACAACACAGGACAGAGTTTACTGATGATGGGGATTGCAGTTTTTGATCTTTATACTCCCATTTATATTTACTTGTTTAATTTCTAGAATTTGAAACAATATTGTCTCTGTAACTCCAGGCCAAAAAGTGATTAGTTTGTTCAAATGTACAGAACTCTTTCTTTAATTCCTGAAGTGATGCTAAAAAATAAGCAAAGCCACAGAACAGTGCCAGCAAGTGCTCAGAGTAACAACCACCACTGTCAGTCCTGAAATGCCAAAACATCTCACTCCGTCCTCCCATAGACGCGTCCTCCTCAATGACCTCATTTAGCCAGGCCGATGTCACACAAGCACCAGTCATCCAGCAACATCAGACCTACAGTACTAGTTGCGCAACCATCTAAATTTTCTCTAGGCCTATAACATTACAATATTTCATGGCTGCAATCCAAGACAATCAGTCTATAGCCTACATGACAACACACACACGCACACACTTAACAATTTTTGATAATCCGATATGCTAGTTTTATAAAGCAACACTGACATAGGAGATTGCATTGGCTAAAGTTGATTGGATGTATGTTGTTTTATAACAATGAGAGGCAAAGTTGTGCATTACAATACAGACATGACAATAATTGGCACATAAAGAGCCTGCAGTATGACTGACCGTGGTGTGACATTATTTAACCCTCCATCGACAGCAAATACGATCAGACAGATATATCATCGAACACATACTCAAAGCACTTTCGCCTAACCGTGCAAACAGGCGATCTCTCAAATTGAAAAAAAAAACACCATAGCGGATGCTGACAGACAGCCTACAACAAGGCAAACATCACCACAGCGGGTGCTCTCTCTCTCTCACACACACACACACACACACACACACACACACACGCAATCTCTCCAACTTCTCCAATTCCAAGGCTATAGGCTGCTATAGACCACAACCCCGAAGCCGGAAAGGACACACACGCAGTCGCATACGCGCACACTCATCTATATGTACAAAAATCTGTCTATCGTCACAATTCAGTCACTGTAAAGATTGAAAAAAAGCCTCTTACCTTAACCGTTGTGCGGTCTTCGTATAGGGGTATACACTTATGATATTGGGGTCTCCAGATACCCGGGCCAGGCAACAAAATGTAATTGTGTAGCCTATACACTTTACATTATTTTGTTATAACAAAATACGTTTTTATTTAAACAAATGTAATGTTACTCTGTTTATTAATGTTTTACTCTACATTTGTGCAGTTTTTGGAGGATTTATGATATATTTTAAATTTATATAAATAAATTAAAAATGTTTTTATACAAAAACAGCTTTTTTATGTAAAAATTTAGGCTAATTTAACCCAGATTTCTAAATTTAATTTATGGGGATAACATGGATCATTTGACAAGGTTTAGTGTAACATTTTTGCCCATCTTTTGGAAAATGCAGTTTTAATAGATAGAGCTCCAATATGCTATTTGCTAACCGAAATATAGCCTATATATCTTTTCACAAGTTTTAGTTGGATAAATATCTAAATATTATGAAATCACAAAAACAATAAAAATGACTTTTTGACTAAGTTTAGCATTTTTTGTCAATCAAACCTGCAAAGATGTTTACAAAGAGAAAAATTGAGTTTTTAGAGTTATAATTTATTTCAGTCTTCTTTGTTTCATATAATTGTACAAATGTAATCTATACACTTCAGTTACTAACTGTAACAGAACAGATATTATATTGAGAACGCTCAAGGGTTAAGTTAATAGACAAGATGCATTGGCTCGACTTCTTGTGGTTACCGTCCTGGTTTCCAGGAAGAAGAGAGGCGATGTCCTGCTTTAATCCAGCTTCTGACGAATGGAACTGGGTCGAATTTGTCCAGCGGAGGTCCGTTGAGGTGAACAAACTGTCTGGTTGCTCGTGTTAACTTATTAGCAAACATTTTGACGTTTAATGACCGTTGAAAAGACTTCCCTCCGTCCGACAAGTCCCGTCATGTTTGAAAAATAGTTCCAAAATGAAAGTTGAACCAACGTCTTCGACGTCACAAATAATGTTGATGTACACGTGATTAAACGGTTTTATAGACGCCCAGGTCTGACCGGACCGATTTTGGACCCTTTTAGAACCTTTGTCAAGTTCAGATGTGTAAAAATAGCCTAATGTATTGTCTTTCACGATGTTACCAATATGGGTGTGATCATTTTATATGCAGGAGTATGTAGGCTATATATTGCTGCCAAATGTATATATACATAGGCTACTCCTGCATATAAAATGATCACACCCATATTCAGTGCCTGAAAAGAGCTCTTGCCATTTTCTGGTTATAACATCACGTTAAAATACCAAGTGTTACGTTATTCTCATGTTATTCTTACAGTTTTTTTCGATTTCCTAAACGACAGTGAGCACAACTGCAGCTAAATGTGCAAAACTCTAACTCCAGTCTGCACAGCAACAGTTCATGTGGACCAAACTCTAGTTCGTTTTTCATTGCATGTACACAGTTTTCAAAACTCTACACACTTATCCCACGACTTTAACCACAACCTGCACAACACTGTGGATTTACAGCACTTTGTTCAAATGCTAACACACTGCTGTCAAAACTGTGAACCACACATTCAAAACAGAATAAATGTCATCCTTGTGCCTTCCAAACACTGCTGAGTGCCATTTCAGCTAGATGCTAGACCCAGCAAGCAATAGCCGTCATTTCAACGTCTCGGTTAAATATAGACCCGATATAGTCCGGCTATGTGTAACCCACTTTTAGCCCAAATAGCATTTAATCTGGATAAATTTTTTTTTTTTCCAAAATAACTTGTGAGATGTATGACATTCCATCATGTAAGCAAAGTCAACTGTGATTACAAGGTGTTTGGTTTGCTTTATTTTACATGTTATATATGTAGGCTGTGCGTAGCCACGATTTAGCTCGTATTCAGACCCGGCTATTGTAGCCCACTTTTAGTCAAAACTGAGTAATTGTAGTTTTTTGCCAGGCAGTGCATGAAATGGTTGATATTCCATCATGTTCGCATTGGTAATGATATCTGCAAGGTTCAATGTGTCATTTCACGACATGGTCGATCTGTAGTCACGATTTAGCTCCGAATTGGACGGGCTATATGCGGTCTACTTTAGCCCACCTGGCGAAATCAAAGCACTCTGGTCTACGTACGGCTTGGCTATAGCCATGATTCATACCAGCGAAATAGTATAAGAATATTAGTCTTAAAAAAGGTTTTTGCTCACACAGCTTAATGTTTGCTGCCTGTTACACATAAACATAACATTCATACACAATCTATCTACAATATGACTGTCTATCATTTCAAATTAAATCAAATGCAACTGCATTTCTCAACCGCTAGATGGCACAATCGAAACACTACTGAGACATGACTACTGATCACTTTAACCAGATCTCGCGATATAAATGTATATGTGTATATATATATATATATATATATATATATATGTATGTATATATATATATATATATATATATATATATATTTTTTTTTTTATTATTATTTTTTTTTTTAATTATTAATCAGATCCATTACTCATGTGCGCAAGGTATACAGTAGGTGGCGGTAATACTCCAAAGGAGTGAACGGCCATAAAACGGAAAGAAGAAGAAGAAGAAGATGAAGATCTCGCGATAAACATTTCTGCCATTTTCAATTTTATTTCACACGAGGCAGCTGTCGGAGAGCAACGGGTGAGCGACACTCT